CAAGTTCTCTGTCTGGGCATTATGACTGCACAAAATCATAACTCACCAATATGAGTTCTGTGTCTGGGCATTATGACTGCACAAAATCATAACTCACCAATATGAGTTCTGTGTCTGGGCATTATGACTGCATAACATGACAACTTACCAATATGAGTTCTCTGTCTGGTCATTATGACTGCATAACATCACAACTTACCAGTATGAGTTCTCTGTCTGGTCATTATGACTGCATAACATCACAACTTACGAATATCAACATGACTGTGTTTATTACTGTACATCCAACAACACTATGAATCCAATAAAGATATAGTATTCTTGAAAATAACATATTTCAGTTCTCTGCCTGAGCATTATGACTACATACCATCACAACTTACCAATATCAATTCTCTGCCTGGGCATTATGACTGCATACCATCACAACTGACCAATATAAGTTCTCTGTCCGGGCATTATGACTACATAACATCACTACTGACCAATATAAGTTGTCTGTCTGGGCATTATGACTACATAACATCACAACTGACCAATATAAGTTGTCTGTCTGGGCATTATGACTACATAACATCATAACTTACCAATATCAGTTCTCTGTGTCCTGTTTTAACAGCTTCATGTAGCAATTTATCTCTAGTATTTGTTAGAGGAGCATTGACGTCTGCTTTATATTGCACCAGTATCTGTACTGCTTTCAGACTTCCATTCAATATGGCTCTTTGCAGGAGGGTCTTGTCCTCGTCGTCCACGTCAGTGCTTATATCTGACACAAAAAATAAATTAATATTTTAAGTTAAATATATAATATTTTTTGTTAATGTCAAGTTTAGTTACTGAAAAATAAACATACTCTAAAACAAAGTGAAGAAAAACATACTTTGCAGTTTTCGACCCTGCCTGTGATAACTCTGAGTGATTGAGACATGACAACTCAGTAACACGGTGAATAGACTCTCCTACCTTTGTTAAAAGTTGGTTTACATTGGAGTGCTTGTTCTAACTGTTCTACATTCCGGTCATTTACAAGGTCATGTAAATGTTTCACCCATTTGGTCTGAAAAAAATATATGATGAAACAAAAAAGAATACAACGTGGTTACTAAAAGAAATGCAAGTACCCGTGAACAAACTTCAGTCGCGTGTATTCCATCGTGAATTCTGTCCGTCTTATATTATCAGCTGGGCAATCGATAGTGAAATTGACTTAAAAATACGCACGACTGTGATGAAGCTAATAAATAAGTTAGTAGACAAAACAAAACCTGGTCATTACGTCGCTTTCACAAGGTGAAATTATAGAGGGCGTAATTGTGAACTTGTAACTTTGG